GAACTACTGTGCTCTCAACGCATACGCCTCTCGAGACAACCGTGGTTCGGACGCGCGTCCTTCTTGGCTAGTCGCATCAGGGCCTGCACAATTCTTAAGGACCTCAGCTACCTGTTTCTCAGCTCGGAGACTTCGACTCTAAGTCCGGAACGTCTTGATGTAGCGATCTTGCTCTTGTACTGGAAAAGAAGCGTGATTGGCAAACCAACAGATCGCAATCTTCAAAACAACGTCTTAAGGAAGCAACTCGCACACTAAACCGAGCCCTGAAGAAAGACGCTGAAAATGCACAACTGCGGTACATCAGAAAACTTTCGCCAACCAGTACAAAGCATCCTCTGTGGAGGGCTCACCCAAATCTTAGCTCTCCAATCGAAACAGTCACAACAACCCGATAAGAAAATCATCAGGTAGATGAGCCCGGGACGAAGATAGAGCCGAAACGTTTGCTTCACATCTCCGAAGCGTTTTCCAGCCGAATCCTGCCACTGGTCTATTTCTCCTACCACAAATCGAATCTATTTCTATAAGAACGAACATATTTCCTTCCCAACATTGCTTCAGCCAAAAGAGATCTGAAACCGAAAAAGACTCCGGGCGGTGACTTAATAACACCAAAAATGATAATTGAGCTTTACAACTCTGCTATTGAGGGTATTTGTAAACTCTTCAATGGGATCATACGTCTTGGCAACTATCCGAGCAAATGGAAATAATCTACTATCATAATGCAACCGAAGTCCGGAAGAGACCACACAATTCCTTCATCCTACATACAGCCAATAAAATTACTATGGTGTCTGGTATGGTATCCCGGCACATCAATTTGGAAATAGCCTTTGAGGATCGGGGATATTTCAGCGCAACTCCTCGATGTATATCAACGTTTCGATCGAGTCTGCAACGGCAGCAAAACCACAAATACAACGTCAACAAAAATATGACAAAAAAACAAAACTAAGCGGGCGAAAGTCTACTACTATTCTCCATCTAACTTCTTAGGTACTAGCCATACCGGTGAACTCCACAAGAAGTAAAAGTTCTATGTAATTTCCTGTTCCAATAGCTCATTATTTTGTATTTTAATCTCTGTACTTCCTCCCTGTGTATAAAGAAACGCTCTTACGTACATTGGGTTCTGCTCCGTTAATTTTATGTTGAGTTTAATTTCGTTCGTAAATGACTAATTCTCTCCCTTAACGTAAAAAAATCTCCTTTTCTTCTCTGTTAAGGTGGGTAACTCTTATTTTGGCTGTGAAATTGTAAAATTGAATGCCTCGAACTGTTCTAACCTGTCCATTCTTGTCACCTCCAAAATTTTTTCTTCCCCTTCCATTACTAACTACATCTCACTATGTTTTGTATTTTAAGTGTATCTACCACTCCTACCACATCAATACTTTTTTTAACATCGGTTAATGTCAGATCAATTATTTTATACGCATATTAAAGTACAACATTTAAACTACGTTTTCACAAATTTTCATTAAAAAAAAATTAATGAGCCATTCGCAGCAAAGCTCCGTGGGCGCCTCCAAGAAAAAAGGTTTTGCGGTGAACAGCATAACTCGTTACTGGATCATCACAAAAAACCAAAACAAATTGTTTATCAGTTAATATGTTTCTAGAGGTAACTACGTTGAGATTTTTTTTCAATTTTTTGATTTTTGGTAACACTTTAATTTTAGCCTAAAAAGTTCGATATATTTGTTGTTATAAAATGAAAAATAATCATTAAAAAAATCTCGACGTCAGTACCTGTGGATTTAGGTACAGAAATTGTGTGCAAAAAACGATTCGTTTAGTAGATTTTGCAGGATCGTCTTCACCGACTTTGAAATTGCAACTTTTCAGGAGAGCGTTTTAATTTTTTGGACACCGAAAAATCGTGTACAAAACGAGCTGTACATTCAACTGCCCATAACTTCGGAACTTTTAGTCGGATGAATCTAAAACTTTAACGCAATATTCTTCAAATGTTGTTCATTCAGAAAAAATTTTTTAAAAAAACAAGAAAGGAAAGCTAACTTCGCGCGGAGCCGAAAATGATATACCCTTGCAGAATACTCTGTAAATTATATTCTCCAAAATCTCAACTTCCTAACTTTAAAAACACCAAAGTTATGGCATTTCCAATCGTTCAGTTATATGGCAGCTATAGGATATAGTCGGCCGATCCTTATGAGTAGGTCGGATTGATTGACCAAAAATAAAACTTATAGAAAATCACAACTTCCTAACTTTACAAACACCAAAGTTATGGCATTTCCGATCAATCAGTTATATGGCAGCTGTAAGATGTAGTCGGCCGATCCCGGCCGATCCGGGACTGCAAAGGAAAGAAGGGTATGTGAGCAAAGTTTCAATTCGATATCTTTAAAACTGAGAGACTAGTTTGCGAAGACGGACAGACGGACATGCTTATATCAACTCAGGGGGTGATCCTGATCAAGAGTATATATATTTTATAGGGTCGGAGATGTCTCCTTCACTGCGTTGTTAAATTATAATACCCTCTGCAAGGGTATAAAAAGGGCAAAAAAATGTAAATACCATATCCCCCATAATAATTCCTGGTATTTGCCACTCGGTCCTATATTCCGGGGTCATTATTACTAATTCTTGCTCTTCTTGTTCCGTTACCTCACTTTTCTGTTCCATCTGTCTTTCCTGTCTAGAAGCTAATCTCACCAACCTATCTGTCAATGGAATTGCCATTTGTCTTGAAACTCAAATGGATTCCTCAAACAGAAATCTCTCAAAATTATATGCTTTAGGAAATAAAATACTTTTCGTCGCCCCTGAAGCTCTTTAGAGGGTTTGTGTCAGTTTTTCGCTTCATTAAAATTTCGCAAGAGAAAATTGTTGAAATTATACAATTTCACGAATTCAGTGACGACATAAGTATATTTCGGAAAAATAAACCGATAGCAACGAATATTCAAAAGCCCTTTTATTCAGGAGAATAAATATATTAGTGTTCCTCGACATTGCTTCTAGTTGGGGGTCGGTTATTGAATGCTCCTATCCCGTACAAAGCCAAATGCCCGTTTTTGCTGTCTGAAAGATAAAAGTTCGTCAGATCTAATGCTGTAAGCCGCAACTCTTAATGCAACTTATAGGAAACTTTCCAGCAGATAGACTTCGAGCACTCCGCCCGTTTATTAAGCAGTATAAAAACATATGATTAAAAAAAAAGAATGCGAATATGGGTTCACTTCGGCGGAGGAGCTCTGAAATCTCCTCACCAGCGTGGAGGCCATGCTTTACCCCAGGCCCCTAGGAGCACTCAGCAGTGACCCGAACGACGGCGAAGCCCTGACCCCCAGGCATCTGCTCATTGGCCCCCTGTTAGCCACACCGTCGGATGCACACCCGTATCAAGTGAACCTGTCCTGTTTTCCCCGATGGCGAGGTGTCTTGTTGCTCAAACACTGGTTTTGGCATCGATGGTCCCGGGAGTAAATCTCCAGTTTTTCGGGTTTTATATTTGGAGTATACCGGCGAGTTGTCGTCCCTTTAAAAGTTACGGTGTTGTAAGGCGAGAGCGGGAGCTAATAAAGATTTCATTCGCACTTGCGAATTCGCCCCTCCTCTCTCCCCTTAGGTTAACATTACATTTTCTTACAGAATACATATAGAGTGTGTATCCTTATATATTTTTTTTAATTTTAATCAGCTTATCCCGAGCTCAGAACTCTTAAACTTTGGCCCAGAAAATGTGTCGTAATATGTAAGGGTAACATTTCTGTCGAGCTTTCAAGAGGTTGTTCGTTCAGAGCCCAAATCGTCATATCCCTCGGATGTATTTAGTTTTCTTTATTGAGAAATATATAGCTTATTATTCTTTATTTGGTCCCGGTAATTGCGAACGTATTTGTTTTATGAACCATATCTTATCGACGATCATCTATAGCTGTTGCTTGTGACTGCTGCGCTTGGGGTGGCAATGATTGCCTTCTATACTTCATTATGCAACTTTCTTTGTTCAATCGATTTGTGAAACTGTTAATAAATTCTTAAATAATTTCCTTGTACTTTGGCGCGCTTCTTAACGACTCAATTATGTCTCCTTGTCGATTACATAATGTCACCGATTACAGTAGAATTGAGCTGCCTATTACCGTTCTAATATTAGCGAAAAATCTTCCTTAAGTCAATTGAAGATTATTCAAAAAGAAATGAGTTGTTTTGCGTTTGCCTCATTCAACATCTCTTGCTGTTCATTTGAATTTTGCTCTTTTCTGCCGAATGCTTCATCGATACACTAAATTATTTTTTTCTATGTTTTTGACCTGGTGGGAGAGTTATATTTGAATACACTTTCAACTAAGTTAAACGTTTCGGTTTTTTGATATTTTAACAGGTGTCATATTGTCATATGACTGTTTGGCGGAGTTGGAAAGCCAACAATTGGTTCCAAAGTGTTAAAAGTACTGATGTTTTACGATTTTGGGTATCCTATTGAGGGCAAAGTGGCCATCGATGTGAAGACTTATATTGATGTTCGAAGTGTCGCCTAGTTGACAACTTAGCGAATGTGTCCGGGATGTTCTACTGATAAGCTTTCTAGTAATTCGTAACGGTTAGTATTTTCGGTTTTGCCCGTGTGAGTAAACATCGCATTAAAAACTTAAGAGCTAGACAAAGTTTAGAAAAAAAGACCTAAACCTAATGGATTTTACAGTTCGTTTACTCGGAGCCAGGCAAAATATTTATTAGTTAGGTTGTTTTTATAATATACTAAATATTATTTAGACCAAAATAGGAAAATAAATTTAAGACATACTATCTTGCGAAAAGATTTATGCAACCAGGGTTAACCAACTGTTAAAACATTGCCAAAAAATACTAAAAAATTATCAAAAAGAAATAACAACAGACGGACTGATAATTTGTGGCAACGCTCAAAAAGTGTTTAAACCAGCAAAATGTTAAAAGTGTATGAATAACTTGCTACCACCTTAACTAGCGTTAGGACGGAGCTTACAAGAACTTACCGCAACTTCGACACTAGATGGAGGATATGTCCGTGTTGAAACTTTAGTACTTTTGCAGTTATCAAAGCACCACTGTGAGTATTGCTTTAGTTTACCATCTAAATGTTTCATACTATTTTTTATAAACGAAACAAAATATCTGTAAGTAAAAAAATGTTTAGTTTACTTAAATAATTATTTATAAAGTTGTTTTTATAATATAATTGTAATTTGAATCTGTAAGAAATAATATTTTTTTGTGTTCGGACCGTGATCATCTTAAATTTTATTTTAAGTTTTTTTATTATTATTTTTATACCCTTGCAGAGGGTATTATAATTTTGGTCAAAAGTGTGCAACGCAGTGAAGGAGACATTTCCGACCCTATAAAGTATATATATTCTTGATCAGGATCACCTCCTGAGTTGATATAGCCATGTCCGTCTGTCCGTCTGTCTGTCCGTCTGTCTGTCCGTCTGTCTGTCCGTCTGTCTGTTTCTACGCAAACTAGTCTCTCAGTTTTAGAGCTATCGAATTGAAACTTTGCACACACCCTTCTTTCCTTTGCACGCAGTATATATGTCGGAACGGCCGGGATCGGCCGACTATATCCTATAGCTGCCATATAACTGATTGATCGGAAATGCCATAACTTTGGTGTTTGTAAAGTTAGGAAGTTGGGATTTTCTATGGGTTTTATTTTTAACCAATCAATACGACCTACCAAACTTCATAAGGATCGGCCGACTATATCCTATAGCTGCCATATAACTGAACGGTTGGAAATGCCATAACTATGGTCTTTTTAAAGTTAGGAATTTGGGATTTTTTATGAGTGTTAAGAATGCATCATATTAATAATTTTGGAGAATATAATATACGTAATATTCTGCAAGGGTATATCAACTTCGGCTCCGCCCGATGTTAGCTTTCCTTTCTTGTTTATATTTGTTTTCATGTATTGTCAAATTATTTCTAAAGATCCCATCCATTCTTGATGACTTTTATTTAATTAGTTCCATGTGAATAATACTTTTTTAGTTCTATAGTTCTTCAGAAAATAAACTGTATTGGAGTATGTCGAAACAACCTCGATTAGGGACTAACATGTCTTAATATTTCCAAAACCAATTGGTTAAAAGAAAATAGCGGTGAAAATGCTAATTTTAGTTGTTGGGAGAAAAGGTTCCAGTTTCAAGTCCTGGTTGCACTCCTCTTGAGAATACACGTCAAATGACACTCCACTTGTTCTGTCCAAAAATTTTTTTTCAAAAACAACATGTTGGGGCCCTTATTAAAAAATGTGTTGATGGATTTTGGGTACAAAATTATAGTCCGGGAATAATTCTAATTTAGTAGCTCAATATTTAAAAATGAGAAATTCTAGTATACCGCTACATTCTACATAAATACGCTGATAGCGCATTTCAAGAATTTAAGGTGTCACCAACTGCTCTACTTCAGTGCCAATGCCACAAGTTGATAGTGAGCAGCATTCCCGCCTCCGCTCTCAAATATATTAACTCCGTTTTTCAAATATGCAGTGACCACCACTTATTATGTCCCAAACCTTCTAAACGAATGGTGCGCTTTGTTATACTACTGTGGGCAAAAAGTAAGGTGAATTTGTTTGTAAAGTGAAAATTCTTTATTTATTCTCCTGAATCAATATCATCCCCTTCAAAGTAATCCCCTCTCGATAAAAAAACATTATGCCAACGTTTTTTCAAAGCCTCGAAACAGGCCAAATAGTCCCTTTCCGGTATAGCCATGAACGCCCTCGTCGATTCCGCTTTTATCTCTTCAATCGACTCGAAACGACTTCCCCAGAGTGGTCTCTTGAGTTTTGGAAATAGCCAGAAGTCACACGGAGCCAAATCAGGAGAATACGGTGGTTGCGGAACGATATGCGTCGAATTCTTGGCGATAAAGAACGTGTTCGCAGCAGAACGCCTACATTTAATTGTTTATTATCAATTTCTAAATGTAACGTAGTTTGCTAACAGCATCTGCGTTGCGCTAACAGCACCATGTTAATTTAACACTACGAATGTAAACCCTAAAAAACAAACACTGTACAACACCTACTATTCTCTTCTCGTTCTTGCCTTAAACTTAAAAGTACACGATCTTAAAACGAAAGCTAGGCCTTTTTTATTTTAAATTAATAGAAACGGCCGAAGTGGGATGCAAAACAGCATCTCCTCAAAACATTGGTGACCCCGACGTGATACTATCTGAGTTTTAGTGCAAATCGCAACTTCAGTTCTATCCTTTTGCTGTCTGGCAAACGCCGTCAAGCACATTCCTCACACACATACACATATACAATCGTCTCCAGAAAACGATAATCGCGTTTTCCTGTGCCCAAATTAGACTTTCGCAATCGTCAAGGGTAAATTTCTTGCATCCGTTAGTCGTGCTACAGTGAACAACATCTAAGATGGCCAAAGTTGCTGATAACTTGCCACCGGCAGACAGTCAAGATAAAGAATCGGCTGATATTGACTTCTACAAGGCCAAGTGCGCATCCCTTCAGCGCCAACTAAACGCAATGGGCACCCACAATATAAATTTTCCCTCCCAACTAAACAAGCGCAAGTCTCGGCTACCAGAATTACACTTGCCCAGGTTCAGCGGCAGCTACGAGGATTGGCCAGATTTCATTGCCATGTACAACAGTGTCGTAGGGAACAACGAGGATTTAAGCAATGTAGAGAAATTTCAACACCTGCGCTCATGCTTGGATGGCGCGGCTCTAAGCACAATCAAATCGCTGGAACCTGCCGATGCCAATTACGATAAGGCATTGGAGTTACTTACAAAGCGTTTTGATAACAAATTGCTACATTTTCAGGGTCATGTTCGAGCTATTTTTGGGCTGGCAAATGTTGAAAAAGGATCTTCAGAAGCCCTGCGCGGTCTAAGTGACAAAATCAACTCACACCTTCGGGCACTTAGCACCATGTCAACCATTCCTCAACTGGCCGATGGATTACTCATTCACATTATCTCTCGCAAGCTCGACCTCAGCACTCAGGAAAGATGGGAGGAGGCATTGCCATCCGACAAGCTTCCCAGCTGGACTGATATGTCAACCTTCCTGGAAAGGAGATGTCACATTCTGGAAAATCTTAACAGCGCTACGGTTCCCACACCTAGCCTTCAGGTGAGCCGAAGCTCCCATAGATCAAATCGAAGCTCTTTCATTGCCACAAACATCAGAAACCAACAACTTTGTACCTTTTGCGATTCTAAGGATCACTATATCGTGAAATGACTACAATTCAGCAGTCTCATGTCTCAATCACCAGTCTCATGTGCACCTGGCTCGCAGCTTGCAATTGCATCCCAGCCAAGTATACCAGATTTATCAACGCCCTTAGCTTCCACTCTCGTAGCCACTTACCCTGAAGACAACTCTAGGAACGTGGTCAACAAGTCCTCCGAGTACGTATTGCTCACTACTGCAATCGTTTATGCAAAAGGCCATTCGGGCGTGTATATACCATGCCGTGCCTTGTTGGATTCTGGATCCCAACTCAACTTTATCACCACGCGTCTGGCTAACCAGCTCCAGATCAAGGTTCATCATGCAGCCGTATCGATATCAGGAATATGCGAGTCAACGATAGCATCTAACTTGTCAACTGACATTGTAGCTCAGTCCTATGACAAGAGATTCATCACATCCTTCCCAGCAGTCATAACTCGATCGATAACAGATTATCAACCGAACTTTGGCCTCGACATCTCCAACTGGAGCATTCCTAAAAATATATCACTCGCAGACCCCAAGTTTTTCAAATCTCAGAGAATAGATTTATTGCTTGGGGCCGGTCTATTTTTCGACCTAATCTGTGTAGGCCAAATTCGAATGGCAGACAATTTACCAATTCTCCAAAAGACCAAACTAGGTTGGATGCCTTCAGGTGGACACCATCTCGTTCGCAACAGCTATTCATCTCTGGCGGCCTTTCGTAAAGTCCCTAAGTTTGAGGATGATTCCTTATCAGAGATCGTAAAAAGATTCTGGGGAATCGACAATTTGTGCGGCGAATCTCTAACAACATCCGCTGAAGACGAAATATGCGAACAGCAGTTTCTACAGTGCTACTCTAGACTTGAGTCGGGTCAGTACGCCGTAAGGTTCCCGACTAAATTCAGCACTGACACGTTAGGAGATTCCCTTCAACGCGCACTTAGACGCTTCAAGGCGCTCGAAGTCAAACTGGCAAAAAACCTTCAAACTAAACTGAAGTACTCTGCTTTCATGCACGAAAACATCGAGCTGGGCCATATGTCACTGGCTTCCAAGCAGCATGTTTTCCCACAATTCTATTTGCCGCATCATTGCGTTGAAAAACCGGATAACTCTACGACAAAATTGCGTGTGGTTTTTGACGGATCAGCCAAATCTACGTCAGGAGTATCTCTAAATGATCTGCTACATACGGGCCCGTCGATACAACCCAAAGTTTTTAACATTCTCATCAAATTTCGTCTTCTCAGAGTTGCTATGTGCGGCGATATTTGCAAGATGTATCGCTGTGTGCGAGTAACTCACCCAGATCAATTTCTTCAGTGCATCCTATGGCGCGATCATCCCGATGAAGAAATAAGGACATACCCGTTGGATACCGTAACGTACGGAACCAAGCCCGCTGCCTTTCTAGCAATTCGAGCAATGCAGCAGCTGGCTCTCGACGAAGAAAGAAACTTCCCACTAGCTGTGAAAATCGTGCGACAGGATTTTTATGTAGACGACTTAATTTCAGGAGGAGATTCGTGGAGGAGGCCGTCCAAATCCGTCTACAAGTAAACTATTGGCAAAGGGTAATTTTCCGATTCGAAAGTGGTGCTCAAACGAGGCTGCCGCATTAGAAAGAGAAAGCGATTCAGATTGTGAAAAACTTATGGAATTTAAGGATGGCACCAACATCGCAAAGACTCTTGCCTTAGCCTGGGATCCCAGCACTGATTGCCTGCTCTTTAACCTCGCACATAATTTACCCGACAAACCCATTAAAAAACGAAGTATCCTATCCATGATAGCCAAGGTTTACGACCCACTCGGATTAATCTCACCCGTCGTTACCAAACTCAAAATATTTCTTCAAGCTCTATGGAAGGAAAGGTTGGACTTGGACGAATGCTTGCCGCAAGAAATGCACTGCGAATGGAATCTGTTAATTGCTCAGCTTTCAAGTGTTTGTCTAACATTTCCGCGATTCATTCTAACGCCACTGGCCACAATTGAGCTACGCAAGCATGGCTGCTTATGGTGCTTGCGTATACGTCCAATCTGAGTTGCAGGGTGTATATTCTTCATATTTGTTATGCTCGAAATCCAGGGTCTCTCCTTTGAAAACGCTGACAATCCCAAAGCTCGAACTCTCAGCAGCGCTTCTTTTATCCGATCTTATGACAAACATCGCCAAGGAATTCAAATTAGTTCGCAAATACCACTGCTGGAGCGATTCTACAGTAGCGCTTGCTTGGATACGAGAAGCCCCTTCTAACTTCAACATTTTTGTTTCCAACAGGGTAGCTCAAATCCAGCGACGGACAAAGGGAATGATCTGGCATCATGTGCCGTCACAACTGAACCAAGAGGATGCAAACCGCTTGAACTTTTAGAATCACCACTTTGGAAAAACGGACCTTTCTTTTTACAAGCCGGCAGCGCAGGATGGCCACAAACCGCGTATCATCCATCTGATCTACCCGAGAGGCGCTCAAAAACACTTATAATAACGCAACGGCTGGATTTGGCAGCGTACTGCAAATTCAGCAATTCCTTCACGAAGCTTCAACGGATTTTTGCATACGTAAATAAATTCATCAAGCGCACAGCATCATATTCAGCGAGTCCGAAGGCACTACTCAATCCAGATGATCTCAAAGGCGGAACGCATCTTTTGCTGAAAAGCATTCACATTGTGCATTTCGGCGAGGAGTACAAAGAGCTAAGTTTAAGGAACCCGCTGCCCCCTAGTAGCAAGCTGCGGTCTTTGGACGCATTTCCCATTTTTGGACGACGAAGGACTTCTGCGCGTCGGAGGTCTTACTCAGAATTCAAACCTCGAGTTCGAAGCCAGGCATCCGATTTTGCTGCCTAAGCATCATCCAGTTACCGATGCAATAATCACGCACTACCATACCACATTCCTTCATGCTGGTTCTGTATTCCTTCTTGCAACAGGTCGTCAACGATACTGGCCCATTGGAGGGCTCAAAGCTGTATCGAGCATCATCAATAAATGCATCCGCTGCTTCCGAATGCGGCCCAAACTTCTCGACCAAGTAATGGCCCCCCTGCCAGCCGAGCGCGTCCAGCCAAGCCCAACATTTTATGTAACTGGTATTGACTTTTGCGGTCCATTTTACACGAAATCGGAAATAAGGAACCGCGCCGCAGAAAAATGCTACGTCTCAATTTTCATATGTTTTGCAACGAAGGCATTTGGAATTGGTGGAGGACTTATCGACATCATCATTCCTCGCAGCATTGAAACGCTTCAAGGGAAACCGCATTCAATATGGACTGACAACGGCACGAACTTTCTGGGTGCTCGGAACGAGCTGAAGGAACTTCGCGAGCTATTTCTAAGTGATCCACAGAGAAGCGAGATTTTCAACAGCTGTACAGCGTTGGGAGTCAATTGGCATTTCATTCCTCCACGTTCCCCACATTTCGGTGGATTATGGGAGGCCGCAGTAAAATCAGCAAAGTACCATTTTTACCGCGTCGTTGGAAACTCAACTCTTTCATTCAACGAGCTTCGAACCCTCATCTGTCAAATCTCAGCAATGTTCAACTCAAGACCTCTTTATTCTATTTCAGAAGATCCTAACGATTTGGAGATTCTTACACCTGGCCATTTTATCTGGGGCAAGGCGAACGCAACGATCGACGAGCCTGACTTGACCCACCCAAACGCAGGTCACCTCAGTCGGTGGCAAAAGGTGTGCCAAATGCAGAAAGCGTTCTGGAGGAAGTGGAACATATCCTACTTGTCCCAGCTTCAAAAGCGTGGGAAGTCGAAGACGACTCGGCAAAATCTCCAACCTGGAACCATGGTCCTGATAAAGGAGGACAATGCACCGCCACTCAAGTGGCCCCTTGGTAGAGTGGACAGCGTCGTCACAGGAGGGGACGGCATTTCAAGAGTTGTCGTCATCCGCACCGCAAAGGGACTGGTCAGGAGAGCCATAGCTCGGATCGCCGTTCTGCCAATCGAAACCAAATCGCTTGAAAGCCATCATCTTCCAACGGGGGGAGCATGTTCGCAGCAGAACGCCTAAATTTAATTGTTTATTATCAATTTCTAAATGTAACGTAGTTTGCTAACAGCATCTGCGTTGCGCTAACAGCACCATGTTAATTTAACACTACGAATGTAAAACCTAAAAAACAAACACTGTTCAACACCTACTATTCTCTTCTCGTTCTTCCCTAAAACTTAAAAGTACACGATCTTAAAACGAAAGCTAGGCCTTTTTTATTTTAAATTAATAGAAACGACCGAAGTGGGATGCAAACAGCATCTCCTCAAAACAGAACGAGTGTAGAAATTTAGCGTTTTCGGTACCAAACGAGATTTGACTTTTTGTAGGTCCAAATGGTCTTTCAAAATGATTTTCACAGATCCTTCTCATATTCCGATCATTTCAGTAAGGTCTCTAATAGTCAACCGACGATTTTTGAGCACTAATTCCTTTACTTCATTGACGTGTTAGTCATCTGTTGACGTCGATGGTCGTCATGAGCCCTTCAAGTCATCAACACGTTCCCGACCCTCTTTGAAGTCTTTGTTCCACTTATAAATATTTTTCTGGGACATGGTCGAATCACCAAACCCTTCCGCAACATCCTGAACGTTTCCGCAGCCGAAATTTCATTCCGCAAACAAAATTTGATGGAAAAAACTAACCGAATAAGGTTTTCATGAAAGTTTTGACAAAAGCCGCCCAATAAATTATTTCAACCAGGTATCTACAGAGTTCCGCATGCCAAGTCCAAATTGCTAGTTCTTGTAGTTCCCGAGATTTCGACGTTCATATGAACGGAAAAACAGACGGACATGATTTAATCGACTCGGCTGTTGATCCTGTTCAAGAATATATATTCTTTATAGGGTCGGAAAACTAATATAAAATGTTTTTCTACGACATTTTGAAAACTGCCGGTGTATACATGGAAGTTGCAAGGGCATCTTTCATGCCACTGCGCCAAGGCAGGATTAGGGCAACCGACAGAGATTCCACACTTAACACCCACAGATCTAAATATGAACAAAAATCTCATCCCACAACTTCAGCCCAAGGCGGTGCCCATGCCTTAGTCGGAAACAGCGTTAATCAATTTTGTTGACTAAAGCTTTGAAATAAATTTTTTTAAGATACATTTTTATTAATACAACCATATAACGGTAATCTTACAGCTGCCGCTGCCACATTACTTTAAAATCATCTTTACATCTATAATTTACTTGCAGATCGTCTACAATGCCAAGCATACTCTGCGAATTTTAGTTGTGACACGAGCAGTCGAAGCAAGAAATGAGAATACGTCCGAATTATGGGATCTCGATAAACAATCTATAGATTAAACGCCGATCCACCAGTTCAAAACAAGATACTTCACCAAATCAAGCGATTTTCGCGTACAGTCAGTTATAGACCTTCAAGTTGTCTGCACTGGACGACATCCTACAAAACAACTTGCAGGAACCGGCTTGCTATCACTTTCTCTTCTATGTAGAGCCCGCAATGCCAACAGCAGCATTTGCCCTAATATGTTGATGACAAGCAAGCTATATTTAAAATATAGTCGCAAGCATAAGCAGTCGTAAAATAACTACACTAACATAATATATCTAAATATAATATTTTAAGAATTTTGCAAAAAAATTTTTTAAGAATTGTTTTTTTCCCAATTGATATAGTCCTCATAAGTGTATTTATTTAGTGGGATATTTTATAATTTTTCATCACAAAATTTTGCTATCAGCAATGTTGAAGGTGCGTTCGTTATGGCAATTGTATACCCTTGCAGAGGATATTATAATTTTGGTCAAAAGTGTGCAACGCAGTGAAGGAGACATCTCCGACCCTATAAAGTATATATATTCTTGATCAGGATCGCCTCCTGAGTTGATATAAGCATGTCCGTCTGTCTGTCCGTCTGTCTGTTTCTACGCGAACTAGTCTCTCAGTTCTCAAGATATCGAATTGAAACTTTGCACACACCCTTCATTCCTTTGCACGCAGTATATAAGTCGATGTTTGTAAAGTTAGGAAGTTGGGATTTTCAATGGGTATTAAGAATGCATCATATGAATAATTTTAAAGAATATAATTTACAGAATATTCTGCAAGGGTATATCAATCCCACCTTTCCTTTCTTGTTTACCATTACATACATACATAACCCTGTGACCCGATCCGGTACCGGCGGCTATATATAGGATCCAGCACTTGCAAGTAGGATAAACATCAACATTTCATAAAATAACCACTATAAAATCAACCATTTATAGTCTTAAGCCAATCGTTGGCCATTTGGAAATATTTCCCTCGACGTAATCTTAGAGTCCGCACATTCCTTTGATGTTTTCAACAAGGCGACTCTTGAAGAATCTTATCATAGTCCATTAGCGCTATCTTAAGTTAGAAAATAGTGTTGGATTGGATTGGACTGAGTTTTGAACCACTCTCAGGTTTTAGCATTTGTGTTGATTTTGTTATTTTTCAGTAGAAAATCAAAATATAGAACAGCCTTTTTCGATAAGGCAAACTAACAAACTTGAGTTTGTAAGCTTGTGGCTGTTTTTCCCTACCCCTTTATACATTCTGTATGCCATAAGATCACTGCCGGCCGTTGCAATGTGATCCCCTAATGTCAATGTCGTCAGCCAAAAGTTATATCATTGTTCTTACTGGTAAAATGACCCTCCTTTCACACATTGAACTCGATTGGGCTTGGCATTAAACCCTTTTAATTTTCTACATCTAGTTTTTCCGATAAACTAACTGACCTACTGCTATTCGAGTACTTCACTGTGGCTATTAAATGACCTTTGAGACTTTTCGTGCGCCTGGGCTAGTATAGTATAGTATAGTTGCAATCTCAAATCTTCGTGGTACACGATATTTGACGTAGCCGAGATTCCCAGTACTGCTGGTCTTTGGCGGCTGTTGCCATTAGCACCTGCAATACTGTTTGGCAACACCCTGCCCCTTCCTTGTGGTGGTTCTGATGATGATGATTGATTTTATTTACTTAGCTGTTTTTGGTAATGGCAAAAGCCGTATGGGTTTAATCTTCTTTGGGTTTGGTTTAACCTTTTCCTGAGTTACAACATGACTAAATACCGTCTGCAAGTCCTGCATATGGCTCTGTGTGTTATATCGTTAATATATACCAAACAGATTTTTCCTACTAATTCGCCCAGAATGTTAGTTATTACTCTTTGAAAAGTGACTGAAGCATAAGTCATCCCAAACGGCATCATCACGTATATTTTTGCCTGATAGATTTCAGCACTTACTTCTACTCCTTTCTTTACTGCCGTTGTGTTCAATAAAAATATACCGATATTCAATGTAACCGGATGGGTTATAATCTTCAGTGACTCTATTCAGTCTCAACTTGTCCGGAATCATACTATTCCTTGTTTCCAAAAATTAACTTATTAAATCTAACTTAGCCTCTACTTTCATAGGTATAAGCATGCCTGTTTATTCTTGTACATATTTTCGTATACCTTTCACAAACGAGATTTGACGTAGGCTCAAATGGTCTTTCAAAATGGTTTTCACAGATCCTTCTGATATTCCGATCATCATCTAGATATGGTCAGAACGGTGGTACCGATACGGTAGTCGCTCGTCAATAGTGTAATTAATACGGAAAAGGGCATATTTTTACATTAAATTGAGGCTTTTTATAACGCTTTTGCGTCGTTGGAAAACTTAGGCCATACCGTAGTGGAATGCGCCGATGGAATGTGGCAAAAATGAGAAACGTGCCAGCGGCTTATTCTCAGAAGGTTCAGCTCTTTGCCATACACGAGCCAGTATGACTAACCATATATTAAAACAGTGCTTCAAATATATTGCTCCGTAACTTACCGTCAAAGAACATATCATTATGGCCTTCACCTGGACCACTCCTGCAGCGAAATCTGAATAATACTTCGGGAAAACTTTATTAATATATAAGTTAACACCTAAAATTATATGAAGACCCAGACATAAGTAAGAGTAAGCATTGGTTGCACAACAAATGCCCCCAATAAGTTCACACGAGCTAAGCCACGTGCGCTGAGCTTGCACCTTTCGGTCAGCGATCGTGGGAATGCAGAATAGCCAATTTCCAAAGTTGATCGAACTTGGCCAAGTGCATACAACAAAAACTATAACGTTAATGCATTGGCCAATGACAATTAAAATTGGCCAACAGCGACAGCGAAGAATAGCAGCAACCAATAATAACAAAGAACGTTAGCAGAAGCAGCAACAGCGGCAGAGACGGCGGCAGCGATGGAACGACGCGTAGTCATAATGAATAATTGTTTAGCTTAATTAAAGTCAGTTCTTAATCCAACTCAATAAAGAAAAGTTTGATTTTTTTAAATAAAATTATAATCAATCTTTTAACTGGCGCCCGAACAGGGACCTGATTAAAAGCCGCGAAAGGATAACAAGTTCCGCGCCTCGTGAAGTTCGGGAAAGAAAAAAATCCCGACGTTTCGTTTGAACCTCCGCCTAATCCGTGAGAAGTGAAAAGAAAAATCCGAGACCCGGAAGTGCGAAAGTGCCGTTTAAAAAACGCCACAATATCGTCACTCCTGAAAAAACAGGACTTGTGCCTAGTGGACTAATCAGGCCAAACTTATCGCCGTGATCCCTTTAGTATCCGTTCGGAGGGAACGTGAGTAAGGTACAGAGGAGGCCCCTTAGTAAACCCGCACTCAGGAGAGATCGCTGCAGCGTGGGATAAACCGGAATCTGTCGATCCTGTCGTCACGAGAGCACGCCGAGATATGTTATTAGTGTAAGAATAGTTTTAAGCAATCTATCAAAGGAAACAAATTTAAATTGAAAAATATAAAGACTCTCGAATATCAGCTTTATGCTCTTAATCAAGGTAGCGATAATATAGTCGATTATTATCAAGCAGTGTACCAACAGCTATCACTAATCCTAAACCAAATGGCAACTTAGATGCCTCACAAGAAACTGTGCAATCTCTGACAGCCATGTACAGGGAAAAAGCCTTACCCACCTTTGTCAGAGGC